TATATATATACACCTTATACAATTATGCATATACTACTAGAGTAATGATGTAAGAATGCATTGTAATCCGAAAAATCACATGTAAAGATTCAAGATTATGCCTAATAAAATTAATTAACACTGATTCAAAATGATAATCAGATTAAATACGGCATTCAGATGAGCATTGGTATTTGTGTGTGTGCGTGTGTGTGCGCCTGTGTGTGTGTATAGCCTGATATTAAAATGCATATGTAGTTCAAGATCAGATCTGATCTACATTGGTCTTGGCATAAATATAGGATAAATAAATAACAACCAACCAATCAATCAATTAATTAATTAATTCAATTAACTAATTAATTAATTGGATGGCACAATATATTATTTGAAAACAGTTTAAATTCTTTAATAGATTGAATTGTGATATCATTATTATGATTAAACGTTACAAATCGTTATATATATATATGTTGGTAATAGACCATAATTTTTACAATATTTTATAAATCTACCGAATGTTTGGCGTTAATATGTTTGTAGTTCGTTTTTTCGATTTTTCTCACTAAAGTTTATGTTTGTAGTTCGTTTTTTCGATATATATATATATATATATATATATATATATATATATATATATATATATATATATATATATATATATATATATATATATATATATATATATATATATATATATATATATATATATATATATATATATATGTTTGGCGTTAATATGTTTGTAGTTCGTTTTTTCGATTTTTCTCACTAAAGTTTCCCTATATATACAGCAAGGAGCACTGACGATGATTCATTCGGAATCGAAATATGGCCTTATTTGCAGCATGAATTCGAAAAATAAGTTTATTTTGAATTTTAATAAACTAAACGTTCACCAAAAAACTTTAATGAGAAAAATCGAAAATACGAACTACAAACATATTAGCGCCAAACATTCGGTAGAATTTATAGAATATTGTAAAAAAATATATATATATATATAGATTGATAGATAGATTAGATAGATAGATTAGATAGATAGGTTAGATAGATAGATTAGATAGATAGGTTAGATAGATAGGTTAGATAGATATGTTAGACAGATAGGTAGATAGATAGAGATAGCCATAAATTATTTCAATAAAACCAGCCGCAATAACGATCTATTAATGAAATTTTTTATATATTTAACAGGAATATATGCAGTTTACTCATAAAACATTATCTTCATCATTACTGTCTAACTAAATTATTATCATCATCATCGCCATAATCGTAATAACGAAAATTAACTATAGTTAATATAATTAACTGTAATTAATAATATAATTAATAGAAAAATTACATATAAATATATAATTCGTAGAATATTATTATTCATTGATTTGGAAGAAAGTACATATCTGAGTGTTTTGTTCATGTGTTGATTGATATATAATGTACTGATTAGTTTATAATAAGTTCTCTTATCAAAGAACCAATCAGTCAATCGTTGTACTCGAATCAACGTAATCAATCAGTCAATCACTTAACTTTATTCAATCGGTCAATCACTTTACTTTATATATCGGTCAATCACTTAACTTTAATCAATCGGTCAATCACTTAACTCTAATCGCTGCAGTCATATCAATCAGTGTAATGCAACCGGAGTAGCTGGCGAAAGTCAAAGACTGATACGATGGTAATAAAAACGTCAGAGAAAACATTTTGAAACAGGAACAAATATAAAAACAAAACAAAACATATGATAAAAAAAAGTCTAATTCGAGATAAATGAATGTATATTAGCAATGACGTGTGATGATGGAGATGAAGAAAGCATTAAAAAACAGTACATTTTGCTGTAGTAGGTGGCTTCGGTTAGTAAAACATCACCGTTTAACAATTATTCGTCGAAATAAACGTAAAAAACATACGAAAATTTATAGGTTAAATAAAAAATACGAAAATTGAAACTAAATATTCAAGCAGAGAATCTCAAATCGCTCGTCCGTAATCCGGGTTATGTTCTTGCAAATGCACCCATCCAAACAACAGCTAATCGTATGATGACATAACACGATCAACACAACATAACAAGACGAAATGACTAGATAATAACACAAAATATATGCACAGCTCCGTAAATTTCTACCTCTGGTTTTTAGCTCCACCAAGACTAAACTTAGAACGATATCAAACTTTAACTTTGTTGGTAGTGTTAGCTAAGAAGAACGAACACATCGCGCTTAGCCGGATATGCAAAACAGCTATTAGTCAACATGCTTAGTTTTCAACAAATTTGTGCCAATTAATCTCGAGCGGTTCATTAAAATAGTTCATACGCATAAGATAGATAAACGATCGAATGATTTTATACGCAAATTATGATAAAATGATCATAAGACATCTATGTTGTGTTGTATAAACGAATATCTTCCAACACGAGACGAAAACATGAGCAGCCGCTAAAGTTCAAAAAACTTCATAAAACGAAATTATGATTCACAATGATCTGATTAACAAATTAGTCGAAATTTAATTACAAATTTGTATAAGAATTGAAAAAATACATTTACAATAATAAATAAAGATTGACTACAGCAATGACATCAACTATCCACACTATTAGCAGGAGGTTGTCTCGAGTTTTCGACGTTGAGGTTGGTGTTAACTTCGCTATTGTTGTTGTTCGCCGCCGGGAAAGATGAGGAAGTCGTCGTGCACGGAGAAACCAGATCTGCATTCTCCTCGTTGTAGAACATTTTGCGAGAGAGGAAAGTTTTAATTTTAGCGGGAACTGGAAGTTTGCGAACGGCGGCCACCAAACCCTCTTGTCGCCATCTGTCGTCACTGCACGAACACGAGGACAGGTTGCCAACGACGGTCGTTATGTTGCTGGAGCGCCAGGCTGGGTAGTTTGTAACGTTGGATGGGAAACATCGAGTTATCGTCTGAGAAGCTCGTGAGTGATGCAGATGGTTTGTCTGAGGTGGAGAATGAGGATGATTGTACTGGAGACCGGCGCCGTTGTTGAAATGTTGATAGTAATAGTAAAGGCAGTGCTGATAATGGTGTTGATAATGATGAGTCGTGGAGACAGTACTCGAGGAACTAGGCGACGAAAAACAGGAAAAATTATCGCTGATGTTTGCAGGGAACTGCGCGTTAATGACGTTATTAGACCAGCCACCGTAGTTTTGACTCTTCTCGTTCTCGGAAGCTAATTTACTTTTACTGCATAGACACAATCGCATTTGCACGACTTTTCTACAGGCGTTAGCTAGAGACAGAGGACAGTGAAGTTGAGAGCGATACCACGCCGCGAAATCTAGCCAATGTTCAAGTAACTCGGCGGGAATTCCTGGACCTTTATACAAAATCCATTCAACCAAATTTAACATGTCAGCCCTGGCTCGAAATAACGTTACGATACAAGGCATGCGCAATCTCAAATCTTCAACGTACAGTTTGGTAGTTAATGATCGAACACATATATACAAAGGAGTGCGGCCACGAGCGTCACAAATGTTCACATCACTTCTTGCAGCCACCAAGACGGTCAAAACATCCACCAGCTTCCAGTGAGCTGCCATATGAATTGGTGCCTGGCCCATTATATCACATCTACAGAATGATAGATGTAACATTATTGAAAATAATAAAGATTCTCAATGATTTTGTAACTTCATTATTTGTTTGAACAAAATAACATCACAATAAAACAAGAAGGAAATGTTTACAGATGACTGTAGAGCTACAAAATAATTGTTCCATATAAGACCAAAATTTAGTAATATAAATTTAGACTAAAGTTAAGTTTCAATGAAGTTTATATTTGAGGTTATTTTTGGACTTAAGTTCGATGAATGATAAATTACTGCAATTAAAGTGGATTGAACTGAAAAGAATACAAGTAACCAACTTATCAACGAGAGCCCCGGCAGCCAACAGTTTGATGATGGCCATCCCACTGGCATGAACAATGGCATTATTCACACAAATGTACAACGGGGTCTTTCCTTGAAAATCTGCCAAATTTACATCAGCACCTGCATGTGTGATTTAAATATGGGATCAATCAGTTAGTTAGGGTTAGTTATTATAGAAGACAAATTATGTCAAAAAAAAAGTAAAACAAATGAACCAACCGTGCTTTGCCAATGACTCAATTAAAGTTGACCGACCATGGAAAGCTGCTTTGTAGACGGGGGTGCATCCATTTTTATCACATTTGTTAACATAAGCTCCAGCTCTCAACAAAACCTATTTAGTTAAAAAGTACTTTAAACATCAAATACTTATGTTCATTTTCCGTATTAAATTTCTCTTCTATGTAATATTATAAAAATATTATATATATATATATATATATATATATATATATATATATATATATATATATATATGTGACTATATGTATGTATATATATATGTTATTGTGTTGTGTATTATTTACTGTGTATTTGAATATGATATATATTGAATTGTATTGTATTGTGACCAAATTCGTAATATTGTTTCATTATGTAAGTAACTGTAATTGTAATAAAAATAAAATACAACACAAGAACACCTCAACGAGCTCAGTGTGGTTGAGTGAGACAGCAATCAAGAGGGGAGTGTTGCCATCTTTGATGCCAGGATTGGTGGCACAGAGAAATGGGAAGTTGATGTTGACGCCTCTGGCCACCAGATCGTTTACCGTTTCGCGATCATTGGACTTGACTGCAAAATGTAACTGCCTGACGTTATGGGGCATTTCACGGACCACTAATTCGTGGTGGTAGGATTTGGAATTGCCCATCATCGACAGGTCCAGTGCCTTCTATATGGAGTCGGCAGCAGTACAAAAAGTTTAATAGATATTTATAGGCGTCATTTTAAAAATCATTTTTAGTGTAAATACTTTTCTTATAAAACGATAAACAAACAAACACGTTCACTTTTATTAATACGACCTAGTTCGTTTCATTAGCTTCTGAGTTTGCGCACTCGCATGTAGGTCAGTTATTTTAAATGTGGACTTAAGTATACACAAATGCAACGTTATTAAAGTTTCCAGCATTGAATTATATAATATATAATATAATTTATAATATATAATAATAATAATATAATTATAATAATAATAAATAATTATAATATATAAGTTATATAATTCCATGGTTTCCAGATCGAAAGTAATCCTTTGTTAATTTTCTTTAAATTGTTAATTTTATTATGCCTTGAACTTTTTCATTTATAATTTAATTGAAATTTAACCATTGATTTGATTTTTATTGGATTGAATTTGATTTAGACTGCTCTCTAGTCTCTACTCTACAAGACTTAGTAATTAAATTTTATTAAATTATTCAATTAATAATTAATTTAATAATTTAAACCACAAATAAGGAACCGAAATGCGTTGTCAGTTCTATTAATATTTAATTAATAATAATATAGTTAATAATAAAATAATTATGAAATTGCAACATTTTTTCACAAATTAGTAGTTGAGTAAATTTTTAACAAAACCTTGTTAGCAGTGATTGACACTGACAGTGAGGATGAGCTGCCGCCAGGCTGGGAGGAAAAACTATCAGATGAAGGAAAAATTTACTATGTGGAGTTAGTTGCCACCATTATTAATATCATTGATTATTAATATTCTTATATTTCATAATAATACTTTTAAATTAATTAATTAAATATAGTGCATAATATTGCATTTCTCAATCAACATATGTACTGTGTCTGCTATGGTGATTTAATATTGTCATTGTATTGTCATATCATGATCTAGCAATTACATTCTAACTACAGCATAACTCTTTGAAATAATGTTCTCTAATTTTTTATAACATATAGTCCTCTCATAGTGTATAACCTCATATTCAGTATAAGATTAACCTGAATGGTTTTTAATTTCAGTGTATTATATTTTTAAATTATAAAACTACACTTTTGATTAAATCATTAATAATAATGCCGTATTGGCAACATTTCAATTTGTTACTATTGATTTTTTTTCTCAGCCACAATCATAAAGTCACACAATGGGAACATCCAAAATCAGGTCACGTGAAAAGAATTGCTCAAGGTTGTTCCAATAGATCATGATTCTTTATTGATTCTAAACTTTCAACGTATTTTTTCAGAGCTGCCTTATGGCTGGACAAAAGAGATTTGCCATGAAAATGGAAATGAAATCTTCAAGAAGTAAAATTTCCTGCCTGCTCACCTAACTTTTGCTTTTTGTTGTAGTGATTGTAAAGAATAACTAAATGATTTTTCAACAGTTCTCGAGATAACAAAACTTCACTTGTCGATCCCAGACTGGCCTACCCCATATCCGACAATGAAAATATAAAGCAGGGGTCTTTTAATCTAAACCATCGATATGATGGGTCAACAACTGCTTTCACAGTGCTTCAAAGTCGAGATCTCACTGGCACCAACGTAATTGTCACTGGTGGAAACTCAGGAATTGGTCAGGGTTTTTCAATTATTTACATGGATTTTCAACCTAAAAGTTTAATTTATTCTTGCTCAACTTGAAATTTTTATTGTTTATTTATTTAAATTAACTGAAAGCTCTTCAAAACAAAAAAATTTTGTTGCAAATTCTTAAATTTTACTCAATGTATTTGATCATTTGATCAAAGGATTTGAAACAGCCAGGGCCCTGGCGTGTTTTGGAGCTGATGTTGTGATTGCCTGTCGAAATATGAAGTCAGCCAACCTCAAAGTATGTGAAATAAGAAAGGAGTGCAAGGCTGCCACTATCTCTTCAATGATGTTGAACCTCTGCAGATTAATTTCTGTTGAAAAGTTCGCACAGGCTTACAAACAAAAATATAAGTTTGTTTCAGATTTTTTATGTAATAAGTATCTAAAATGAAAATATATTTACCAAAGTTTTCTCTTAGTTCTTCTGACAAATTTAAAAAACTTAAGTTTCATAAATTAACTTCACTATATAATTTTACTGTTAAATTGTCTGTAAGGATATAACGCGATTTTAAAACTTCTAGGAAACTGCACATATTGATAATAAACGCCGGAATTTTCTGGCTGCCATATGACTGCACACCTGATGGTTACGAAAGAACATTCCAGACAAATTATCTCGGTCATTTCTACTTAATTAGGCTACTGAGATCTCTGCTCTTCACATCTGCCCCATGTAGGATTGTCTTTCTTACCTCTGAATCTCATCGGTGCCTTACATTGTTTTGTTTCTAATCTTTTTATAGTTTCGTTGCTCTTTGTGTACAATTTGTCTGGTAATTGTTCTCAGTTTATAGATTGTTTCTGCTGTTCAATTGTTTTATTATTTGTGAGCAATTGTATTTTTCAATGACACATAATATCACCAACGTTTTAAACTGCATCTTCAACGTTTCAGTTTCTCAGATTTGAACAGCAAAACCATATGTGAGAGCATACTCTCTCCAACGACTCCTGATCTCTACCATCCCATCCTCAACTTCAACATCTCCAAACTCTGCCTCACTGTCCTCTGCTACGAACTGCACAGGCGGTCAGTTGATTCTCACGTGGTTTGCTGAGCAGAGCAGATTATACCAATCGTTTTATAATTTATATTTATAATTTTAAAAGTTGAATTTTTTTTCAAATTTTCCAGGTGGTACCATTATGGAATTGGATGTTTTGCGGTGCATCCAGGAAATTTAGTGAATACAAACATATGTCGGTATAATTGGCTTGGAACGATATTAATGTTTCTGGCCAAACCATTCTCCAAAACTGCGGTCAGTAGTAACAGCGTTATTACTCAGCTTTTTGTTTATGTAAAAACGTAATTACAATTTTATACGATTTTACAAATTGTCCTATTCTTTTACAGGAGCAGGGTGCGGCCACTGCAGTCTACTGTGCCACGAGTCGTGATCTGAACAAACTTGGTGGCATGTACTTCATCAATTGCATTCCTGTTGACCCTCTACCCGATGTCGTTGACCTCGACCTTGCCCTCTCCCTCTGGCAACTTAGTAGGAACATGGTAGCCAAAGCTGCCACTTTGAGTGGATGTGGTGGGCTGGGGGATGGTTTTGATTCGAATGTCAACAGGATGTTTAAGACTGTTGATGAAGTGTGCATTGAGGTCTGAAAATGAATCTGTAGTTTTTCCTTTTAAATAATTTTTTATATTAACTTATTTCTCCAATCGTGTTTGTTACTTTTAAAATTTTGTTTTAACTTTTTAAGCCCAGCTCTAGTCACTTCATTGTTAATAAAACCAACGAAACAAAAGCTGTCATTTATTTATCAAATTATATTACAATGAATCCTTATCAAAATAAAAACGAGAATACGAATTGCATATTAAAAATAAAATGCACGTTCCTGGCGGATGTCTCGACTCTTTACTTTAGTGTCAGTTAGTATGATATTAAGTTGAGGTTAGTTTTAAACGTCAAGGTCCTATTCATGCTGATAGATTAAAATGAAAAATACGGAAAAATGTGAAAAAAGAACAACGTTTAAACAACTTTCTGTATGCAATGCACACATTTGTACATATTAACTCTAACACCAAATGCTTAACTAACTGAGAAATTTTAATGTTACATGAATACGTCTGGACAGACATGCAGACGTCAAGCATGCCGTGAAAACGCGATGAAACAAAAGAGGAAAGGCAGGAGTGTAATAAAATTGCAATTACAAAGCCGAAGATTGAAATATAAAAATGTACAAAATTGAACTTTCGTAATAAATGTCTTAAAAAAAATGGAAATCGGAAAAAAATGAATTGGGTTTACACATTGAATTAATTTTTTTCTTAACTTTTAATATATTTTTGGACGGAATGTAAAAATAATGTTTAAAAAAATTTCCGACTAAATGAAAATAAAAACTGTGACAAAAAGTTGAATTGAAAAATTAACAAACATCATCCACCGACTCTTCGCATCAGCCTAGCTCAGATGCCATCGTCAGAGAAGAAGTACGTAGCTTTTCCTCACCATCAACCACCTTCTCCCATTTTCTTCGCGCCACCATTTTCGAAATATCTCTTTGAAATCTTCGATCGTGTGTCGTTTTTTGTCTTTTCTGGCCACTTATTTGTTCACTTTCTTCATCAATTTTGATAGGAAAACAAATTTTTCGGAGGTCTATGTTTTGTGCTGAACCAAAATTTAGCGGAACCACGATACATCGTTCTTCTATCTTAGATGATGACGACGACGACGATAAAGACGATAAAGAGTCAGGCAATACTGATGATGAGGATGATGAAGACGATGATGATAATTGGGATGTAGGATTTAAGGCCTTATCACGGTCAGCATTATGTTGATGCGTCAATGATGAAGATGGTAACGAAGATGATGATGATGATGGCGATGAAGACGATGGCACTGATTTTACAGGTGATAATGGTGGCGATATTAGTGCTGGTAAGATTGATGACGACGACGGCTGTAGTGACGGTGAAGTCGAATCCGGTGGGTTTGGAACTGTTGGTTTAACTGTAGGTTTTGAAATGAGATGTATTGTTTGTTGCCATTTTTATATTAATATAATAAAAATTATTAAAAGTTCAAAAGTTACATTACAAAATTACACAATATTTTACTAAAAATTCCAATTAAAAGATTAAAATAAGATAAGAAAATGTATCTGAAACACGAAACAGCTAGTAGGATGGTAACACTGCATTAGGATGGATAAGTTTTCATAACATTTTATCACGACCACCGTTCATTACAATTACCCATGAACCCTACCTGAACTGATATACTTTTCATTAAATTATTATATACAAGTATACACGCAATACGCAATCAAATACGCAATTAATACACGAATTACGCAAGAAAATGTGTATCATACATGCAAACACGTATGACATGCATACGTCGGGATAAAATTTACGCGGTGAACATCTCTAATAAACATATGCGTGAACGCACCAACACCAATAAATGCGTAGGCGAGCATATATAACAGTATAAATTCAAATATACACGTCTAGATTCACACACACACAAGTACATATAAGAGGAACACGTGCAAATATGTATGCCTGAGCGTAGGTTGACTATTCATAAGTTTGTCGTATTGATCCTGTCTCCATCAATATTAAACAAAATTGGAGCTGGTCGATTGCTACTTTCGAGTTAACGCCCACATTACTTGCGCTGCACGCACGTACACACACACACACGTACACACACACACACGTACACGTAAAAAACATACATGCATGCATACATACAGACACACACACACATATACATATATAACTAAACACATATTTAAACACACGAAAATACATATATGATCACATACACGCATATATAACCAAAGACTTCTTCTTTCTTGTGCCCTATCCTTTCAGGATATTGGCGACCATCGACCTCCACAAAACCCGATCTTCAACACTTTGTAGTAATTGAAATGTGGTGACATTCAACAAGTGACCTAAGGACTTCACGAATGTTATTCGTTGTCGAAAACCGCATCTCAGAAGCGTTAATCTTTTTTTCCACTTCTTTAGAAATTGTTCAGGACTCAGAGCCGTAAGTTAGCACAGGAGAAAATGTAACACCCTAACAGTATTAATTTTGTTGATATTCTGATTTTACTATTGGTGAGGAAGTATTTCATTTTAGAATATGCATCTTTCGACATAGCTATCCTTCTTTTGATAAGAACACGCCTAACATATACAACCACACACATATATGTGCTCGTTTGTTCGTGTGTGTGTGTGTGTGTGTGTGTGTGTGTGTGTGTGTGTGTGTGTGTGTGTGTGTGTAGTGTGTGTTTAGTGTGTGTGTGACTTGCAAGCATCGCTTGTGCTATTTTCTTTTCAATGGAATTAAAACCGTCCAAGCATGCATGCACTTTGTACCGTGTACCGTCCAGCCAACGAGCAGATCATTTTAAATAAAAAAAAACAACAAAAATAAGCCTACCGAAAACTGGTCAAATTAATAAATTTAATAACATAATAAAAATTAATTGCCGTAAAGTTTAATTTGGAAAAAAATAAATAAAAAGTAAAAAATGAAAAAACAAATTCGCGAGCCATCAGGCATGTAATTATGCGTGAGCATGTAGGAAGACAACGCAACATGCTCTCGAATATTTCCTTACAAATTTCAAATGGATTAGAGCGACCTGCTTACGTGCGGAAAATAAATTAAGAAACACATCACACGCATCACACATATAAGGTACTTACACGCAAACAATTGCAAAACTAAACTGTATACAATCACATACAGACACATACAATTATATATATATATATATATATATATATATATATATATATATATATATATATATATATATACTCAATAATAAGAACAATCAACAAAAGCATGCCTTAAGAAAAAACCCAGCCACTCCAAAGCGAATACTCACCTGGATACCTCAATGGCAACATCAAAACGTACAAAAATAACAACCCTCTCCGACCTATCATCAGCCAAATTCCGACAGTAACATACCCTATTGCCAAATATCTAAACAAAATCCTGACCTCATACATTCCTAGTAAGTAATTGCACTTACTCCAGTCCTCATAGGAAACATCAGTGCGTGCGCACAAAATTGTCGCATACAACCATGTGCACATACACACGTTTCATACAAACAATTATGCATACATATTCAAAAACAACATACAATACAAACTACGCAAACACAAAAGCTTGGATGCAAATGAATGAGAATGTTGATTTGCTGTAATGTTGAAATGGGGAGTGACTTGTTTGCATTGCTAGCCATTTTGTTGGGGTTTGTTGTTTTTACAGTTTGTTTGTATTTTGACTGGTTGACTGGTTGGTTGGTTGGTTAGTTGGTTGGTAGGTTGATTGATTGACATGTTTATTTACATGTCTATTCAAGTAAATGAATGATTGCTTAACGTGTTATGCAAGTCTTGGCCGAATCGATTTATAAATTTGTTCGCTTACATTTTTTATAGTCCCAAAATTATTCGATTAAAAGCATCAACCATTACCTGAATGAAAAGCAGAGAGAAAGAGAAAGAGAAAGCGAGAGAGAAAGAAAGAGAGAGAGAGAGAGAGAAAGAGAGAGAGATAGAGAGAAAGAGAGATAAAAAAGAAACAAGAGGAAGATTGGTAGAAGAGGAAATTCTAGTGAAATAAAGGAGAAAGTCCCACTGCGGTAAATAAAGTAGTACTAGATGAAGAGACAGTTAATGAAAATAAGTTCAGTGCGAGTGAAGCATTGGAAATGGGAAAAAAGTGATTCATCATTTAATTCAAAACTCTGTTTTATCCTGAAAAAAGTGTGTTTGTTTGTGTGTGTGTGTGTGTGTGCGCGTGTGTATGTGTGCGCGTGTGTATGTGTGCGTGTGTGTATATGCGTGCGTGTATGTGTGTGTATATGTGTGTTGTAACAAATATAAATATCTTTAGTGTTTAACAGCGGACAGAGATATATATAAACAAGCAAGCAACAACATCATAAGCAACAGCATAACACAACATCGTGTCACAAAATAATAACAACAACAACACTAACAACTACAACATCAACATCATCAACAACAACAACAATAACAACATCAACAACGACAACAACATCAACAACAATAACAAAACAGCAACAACAATAAAAGCAAAAACAACATTACATCAACAACATTAACAAGAGCAGTATCTAGGTTATAACCTTAAACAACAATATATACGACGACACCAACGTTATAATCAACAACAACACAACAAACAAATATGATGTAAAAACA